CCAATCAGAGACCGCGGCGGTACCCCCGCTCACGCGCAATTCCGCCTGCCCCGCCCCTCATCGCCCTGTGGACCAATCAGAGGCCGTGCTGAGAGTGACGCTGCCCAATAGCGCGCCACTTCCGAGTCCGGGCGGTAAACAACGCAGTGGGGGGGCGGAAACGATCCCGGAGCGTATTTACCGCCCCCTCCCCCATTCCCGGTGTTCCCAGAGTGACGTCACGGCGCCGGGGGAAAGGCCGGATCCTGGGTTTGCTGAGGGAAACGGGAGTTTTCCCGTGGGAGCAGGAAAATTCCCGCTTTCCTGGAGGGGAAAAAGGGAATTCCAGGTTTTCCTGAGGGGTAAGGCGGCCTCTGGTTTTCCCGAGAGGAAATGGGAAAGTTCAGGTGTTCCTGAGGGGAAGCGGGATTTCTGGTTTTCCTGCGGGCGCAAAGAGGAAAAGGAACGTTTTAGTTTTCCTGGGGGAAATGGCAACATGCGGTTTTCCTAAGGGAGAGACCAAATCCTGGCTTTCCAGGTGGAAAAGGGAATTTCTGGTATTCCTGAGGGAAGTCCTAGGTTTTCTGGAGGGAGGGACCAGAGCCTGGTTTTCCAGGTAGAAAGAGGAAATAGAGTTTTCCCTGAAGGAGCAGATAGTTCCTTGTTCTCCCAAGGGAAAAGGAAGTTTCTGGTTTCCCGACAGGAAGAGACGGGTCTCTGGTTTTCCTGAAGAAAAGGGAGTTTCAGAGTTCCTGGAAGGGGAGTTGGGTTTCTCTTTTTCCTGATGGAAATGTCTGGACTTCCTGAGAGAGAGGCCCTTTCCCGGTTTTCCTAAGGGAAATGAACTTTTTTCCCCTTGGAAACTTCAAGTTTTCCAGAGGGAAAAGTTGGTTTCTGTTTTCCCCATGGGGGAAAAAGCATTTTCTGTTGTTCCTGAGGGAGCAGGGAATTTCTGTTTTTCCTAAGGGAAAAGGACATTTCTGCTTTTACTGAAGAACTAATTTTCTGGATTTCCTATGGGAAAATGGAATTTCAGAGGAGAAGCCAGTTTCTAAGTTTCCAGACTGCAAATGAAATTCCTGGTTTTCCAGAGGCAGAAACCTCTTCCTGGTTATCCTGAGGGAGAAGCCAGTTTGTGGATTTGCCGATGGAAAAGGGAATTCCTGTTTTTTCTGGAGCTAGAGGCCGGATTCTTTTCCTGCGGGAAAATGTGATCTCAGTTCATCCCACCCCAGGCAGCAGCCATCGGCCTGAAACCATCATCTGGATTTTCCCCTCTTTTCCCTAGATCTCCAGCCGTGGCGGAGGGGGAGAAGCTGAGGCGGCTCCTCCGGCTGGTGCAGGAGGGACGCCTGGATCTGCTCCGGGATGAGCTGCGTCCGGGCAATGACGTGGGGCTGGGACTGCAGCCCTGGCGCTGCGGGCGCCTGGGGGACACGCTGCTGCACCACGCTGCCCGGTGCGGCCACCACGATGTCCTCACCTTCCTGGTGCAGGAGCTGGGGATGGATGTGGAGGTGTTCAACAGTGACTACAAAAGGCCCCTCCATGAAGCAGCCTCCATGGGCCATGCGGAGTGTGTGTGCTTCCTCCTGGAGAGAGGAGCCAGCGTGGACTGCTTGAAGAAGGCAGACTGGTAGGTCACAGCCTGCTTGGGGGTGGGGTGGAGGGACACCTGAAATGGGTCTGGGTGCAGGAGCGGTCATCCAGCATCATGGAATCACGGAATGGTTTGGGTTGGAAGGGACCTTAAAGCTCCTCCAGCTCCAACCCCTGCCCCGGGCAGGGACACCTTCCACTAGAGCAGGTTGCTCCAAGCCCCTGTGTCCAACCTGGCCTTGAACACTGCCAGGGATGGGGCAGCCACAGCTTCTCTGGGCACCCTGTGCCAGCGCCTCAGCACCCTCACAGGGAAGAGCTTCTGCCCAAGAGCTCATCTCAATCTCCCCTCGGGCAGGTTCAAGCCATTCCCCTTGGCCTGTCCCTACATCCCTTGTCCAAAGCCCCTCTCCAGGTCTCCTGGAGCCCCTTTAGGCCCTGGAGCTGCTCTAAGGTGTCCCCTTGAGGAGCCTTCTCTTCTCCAGCTGCCCCAGCCCAGCTCTCTCAGCCTGGCTCCAGAGCAGAGCTGCTCCAGCCCTCGCAGCAGCTCCGGGGCCTCCTCTGGCCTCGCTCCAGCAGCTCCACGTCCCTCTTGTGCTGTTCCCCAGAGCTGGATCAGGGCTGCAGGGGGGGTCTCCCCAGAGCACAGCAGAGGGGCAGGATCCCCTCCCTGAGCTGCTGCTCACGCTCTCGGGGTGCACTCAGCACACGGGGGGTTCTGGGCTCAGTTCTGGCCATATCACTGATTTTTTTTCCCTGTTTATTAATGAAGTAAATCACTGCTTCATTAGCAGATCTAATTTAACAGTTTCACCCTTAGCTCTTTGTTCTTCCCCACTCCTCTGTTACATGACAGTCAATGACGTTGAGTCACAATTTTGTGTCCTGGTCCTCTGAAACTGAAATAAGAAGATAAAATATTAAATTTTGCTCTTTTTTTCCCCGGAGCAAACAGAGCCTCTTGGCTCAGATTTGCCATTGATCTAACAGCAACAGCCTCCACAACCCGAGAAACAACTGGTTTCTTCAGGGCTTTTGTTTGCCTGCCACGTGGGTAACACGTAAGCAAGTGATGATGGAAGAAGAATTGGGAATAAAGACTAAAGCCTAATCCACAAACAAGCACCAAGCCTGATTAATGTCCAGTTCTCCTCTTCGGGAGGGAGATTTCTCTGTGCCACCTTGCAAAAGGAAGCACAGATTCATCCCAGCTCACAGATTAATGCCTGGGGAGGTCGTTTAGAACCTGAACTGACATAAATACAAAGGCAGCGTCCCAGTCCTTGTCATTCAAGGCTGTGCCAGCACCATGCTGACATCAGGGGGAGCAGAGGGAGGCAGAGTTCTCATGAGCTGCATGCAGAAGTGTGTGTGACAGGCCTGCAGTCTCCTTCTATCTGTGGATTAAAAATGGGGAGCTCTCAGGCAGTCTCATTTGCTTTGAAGATACAGCCTGATCTGAGGTGCTGCAGGAAGCACAGAGCTCCAGGCTCAGCTCTGCCCCATCTTCCCTGGCAGAACCGTGTCTTAGCTCTTAAAAGCTCCGTCACTGAGGATTTTATCTCCCTTCTCAGCACTCTGTTCCTGTCCTTACTTTACAAATGGAGCATTTCTGGAGTAAAAAACAATGCTGTGAGCAGCTCTGTCTCAACAGCCCCCAAAGTCCAGACCCTGTATTACCAGTGTGATAAAGCAGTGCTGTAAATCTCACGGGCCAAACACAGTGTGTGGTGAGCCTCAACCAGAGCATCTGAATCCAGGTGAGATGATAGATTTAGTCTCAGGCTTGGAGAAGGTCTTTGCCAATCACAGAATCCCAAACTGGTTTGGGTTGGAAAGGACCTTAAACCTCCTCCAGCTCCAACCTCTGCCCCGGGCAGGGACACCTTCCACTAGAGCAGGTTGCTCCAAGCCCCTGTGTCCAACCTGGCCTTGAACACTGCCAGGGATGGGGCAGCCACAGCTTCTCTGGGCACCCTGTGCCAGCGCCTCAGCACCCTCACAGGGAACAGCTTCTGCCTCAGAGCTCATCTCAGTCTCCCCTCGGGCAGGTTCAAGCCATTCCCCTTGGCCTGTCCCTACATCCCTTGTCCAAAGCCCCTCTCCAGGTTTCCTGGAGCCCCTTTAGGCACTGGAGCTGCTCTAAGGTGTCCCCTTCAGGAGCCTTCTCCTGCTCCTTTAGCCAGCTGAGTTTCCTACTACCTCACAGTAGATGAACAAAAGCCATTAGGCTCTTAGGATGCCATCTCTCTGCTTATCCTGTTTGCCTCCTCTTTCTCTCAGGACTCCTCTCATGATGGCTTGCACCAGGAGGAACCTGGAGGTGATCAAAGCTCTCATGGAGCATGGAGCCAACCCACTGCTGAAGAATAAGGATGGCTGGAATTGCTTCCACATCGCGAGCCGGGAGGGCCATCCCCAGGTCCTCAGGTACCTGCTGGACATGTCCCCTTGCAGCTGGGACACGGAGAGCACGATACAGAGAACACCTCTGCACACAGCAGGTAAGAGTGTCCCATTGCCATCAGGCAGGTTAGATAAGAGTGGGCTGTGGTGGCAGTGGAGAATCAAAAGGGGCTGTTGTTTCAGTTCATGTTTAGTTTGGAAAAGTGAAGTGTGTCCTCTCCTGATATAAAACCATAGGGAAACAGTTAATTATGAAGTAATTGAAATTAGATGAAAGAGGGTAATGGTGGAAGTTAGGGGGAAAGTCACCTCTCTGAAGGTCAGTGCTCTGCTGCCTCTTTGCAGGGTTTCACCTCAGGACAGGCACTCATTTTAGTTGCTTTCACATAAATAGCAAGAATTAGACTTCATGTTTCTTAATGATGCACCGAAGACTGAGTTTGTGAGGTTGGAGAATCCTCAGTTCCCATTTCAGTGGGTTTTGCCTGTACTCAAACCACGTTTTTGTGGTGAATAACAGTTGTGTTCTCGTGGGAGTGGTGGGTCCATTCCCAGGAGCACTCGTGATCACCCACTGACTTTGGCCTCCTTGGACCAGGGTGCTGGTCTCCATCTCTGCCTCGCTGGGACAGATGTGTCCAAGCTCCCGTGGCTCAGAACATCTGCAAGGCTCCAAGCATATCCTGGCATCTTAAAAGTCCTGAAAGCAACAGAGCTCCTGAGAGGCACCTTTTGGGATCTGCCTGTTAAGGGACAGTTTTAACAGTCTGGTTTATCTTGTAAGTTTTTGTAAGAGAAATAGCTCTCAAAATGATCCTTTTTCCTCTGAATACTTGGTGGATTAGGTCATTATAGCAAATCAGAAGAGTTGTGGGGTCTCCAGGCATAACCTCAGGAAGCAGCATCACAGGTTGTGGTATTCTCACATAATAAGAAGGTTGTATCTAGTGAGAAATCCAGATTGTTCTGCATAGGGAAAGGATTGTCTCTGCTGGGAATACTCAGGAGCTGTTGGGGTTGGAGCTCACCAATTCCCCTTCTCTGCCCCTTTCATTCGTTTAAAAGGACACGTAAAGGGAGTGAACTGGTGAGAAGAACCTCAGATGTCACCAGGAATGTTGGGGAGCAGAAGGGCACAATTAGCTGAATGGCGACCGAGAGGCATTTGGGTTTGGTTTCTGGCTTTCTGACTCTTTTATCCTTAAGATGGAGTGATTCATCTTAATTTATGGATGATGCACAAAATGGGCCTGAATTAAGTTCTCTGAGTCTTAATAAGTTGAATTGCCCAATGCAGAATTAAGTTTCTCCTGCTTTAGAGAGTGTTGGGTCTGGTTACCCCCAGACTTGTCTGAATTAGGCAGTGTATGGGTCTTCCCAGAGCTTAAATCCCTTTAACTCTGCCCTCAGGAGATGCAGTGAGATTGGAGGATGAAGGGAGCAAGAAAGTGATGGGAGAGGTGTGTGACACCAAGTCAAGGTGACATTGTGGGGCAGGCTCAGGGCTGGAGGGTGGTTGGAGGAGGAGATTGACCTGACTCTGAAACGTGTAGG